TTACCTCCTTAGACGGCTATGACACAAAAATGAAAGAGTCTGTGCGATGCGCCGCTCAAGCCGCTATTGTTTTTAGCTTAGCAAATAATCGGTAGACACGCATAATAAATGTACATCAAATCTCAGTAAATTTATTGGTATCATTGTCATGATAACGTACATTAAAACCTCTCTCTTTTATAGCCTGAGTCTCACTCGCTTGTCCTATTGCCAACATGTTCTATGTGTTTACATGAGTTTTGAGGTACTATGCTTATGTGTATGCTTAGCTTAGGTTGGCTGTAGTCGCAACCTTGGTTACGACTCGCATGATCCTACTTGTACACAACTTAAAACCAACTTACAACTAGCTTATTACTACGTTTTTTCAAATGTCTACTCGCTAGGCACTCAGGTACCAAAACGCGTGATTTAATCACCGTTAGGTATGTGAGTGCTTGTGCCTTCCTATACCACTGTGTTTTCATATGCTTGTTTGCTTTTTTTTTGTGTGTTTCTACATGTGTGATCGTGTCTTTGTACATATTGTGTGTGTGTTTGTGCTCTTTGCGCCTACGGGTATTGGTTTTTTTTTTTTTTTTTTTTTTTTTTTGGGAGGTGGAAGACCATCAAAAGGCGCCCTTTAGGGTAGTGCGAGACTTTAACCCGCTAAAAACCACCTCTCCTATTCCCTACCCTGTGGCACGACCGTTTAGGTATACCTTCACAGGGAGGGTAGCCGTTTAGGCACTACTTAAAAGCCTACGATGACGCTCTTCGTGTCTTTGTTTACGCATAATGTTTGCGGCGAACATCTCTACTGCCTTCCATATTTTGAGGTCATGCAACATATTTGTCACAAGAGTGTCGGGGAGAGGTAACACTCCAATTTCCGTCTGTAGTCTCTGTCGTTCGTTATAGTATTTCGGACAGACAAAGAAAACATGTTCAGCGTCGTCTATGCACTTACAAAAACTACATAACAGGTCCTGCTCTATTTTAAATCTATTCAAATAGGATCGAAAACAACCACGACCGCTAAATACCTGGGTCAAATAAAAGTCGACCTCACCATGTTGCCTATTCACCCAGGGCCGTAAGTCTGGTATGAGTCGATGCGTCCACCTACCCTTACTCGCTGTGCTCCAGCGCTCCTGCCACTTTTCCAACAGACGCTGTTTTACTCGCTGCTTAGCCGCTTCAGCTGGCAGTCTGCGAAATTCGGCTTTATACAGACCTTCTTTACCACGCAGATCGATTGGCATCATACCAGCGATAACCAGGGCCGCGTCCTCCGACACCGTCCGATATCCGGCGCACACCCTTAGAGCGCATAGCCTGTAAGCTGCTTGTATGTCTCTCGTGTATGACGGGATAGCGAAAGCCTTGTTCCACACAGAAGAGCCGTACATTATTGTCGCCGAACATATCTCAGTTTCCTGCCGGTAAAATAGCTAGCCACTATATTAATCAAATAATGTGGAATTCTTCTTTCCTGTAGGGCAGCTATGACGCAATACCAGTTTGCTGAGTTGAACGGGTATTGGTGTGCATTGTTATGTGTGACTCTAACGTTTATTTGTTTTGTCTGATCGTATATTCATTGTAGAGCATAAGGGTTTACCTGATTATATACCCTAACGGGGTTTATGCAGTAATGCGTATTATGTAAGCGTTTCTATCGTTCGCTTATACAATTTTAAGGCATACAGATTTCTGTATGTTACTTATTTCATATGGTTTTATACCTATGTTTGACTTGGGTTTGAGTTATATGACTCACGAGTTCTATTGTGTTCCTATGGATTAACTAGCGTAGGCCTGTGCAATATGTGTCTATACATTTTCTCTTTATACAAGTATGAGCATATTTAGTGTGTGTTTGAGATTTTAATTTTACAAGAATAGGTGTGTGTTTTTATGATTTTCACTTTACAAGTATAATTGGTGGGTGTTTTTATGATTTTGCATTTGAAGTTGGAGGAGGCTGCTCGTGTATTGCTCACAGAACGGCATGCGTGGACAGATCGGACTTACTGGTTGCGGATTGCGGGAGGACTTTCAAGCGGACGGACTAGTTTTTCGTAAGGAAGCAAAATCGCTTTCTTACAATATTTAAAAACAAAGAAAATGATTATGAAAAGTACAACACCATGTCCTGCTGCGCTTCGGTGATGGGTATAAAAATTTTGCAACGTGAGATTTAGTTTCGATACAACACGATATCCTTTAGATTGGTGTAAAATATTTCAATGTATCCTTTAAGACGGTCTCGCACCCACACACACCATCAAATACAAATGCTCTTTCTTAAGGAACATATTAACAGCTACTCTTAGGCTTTATATGGTTACCAGTAAGGGATACCTGGTCATGTGTATACCATAGAACCGACTGCATGAAGCAAAAGCCATCTTTACTTTACACAGACAGACTGAACCTTTTCTCTGTTTATAATTCCTTTATTTTGTGAGCTATGGAAAAAACTTATAAAAAGAGGTTCGCTTATCGGTGTTTCGCTTTCTTATAGATCATTGCCTTTCTTTCCAGACAGTGAACACGTGAGTTCCATATTTCGACGCTAGGGCTTCGTACGGTTATTGGCGCGTTCAAAAACAACAACAAATATTGTATTGTCACCGAAAACAGCGATAAAACGGAAAGTGTAACAATTCCATCAATCACTACATCAATAACAACTTCTATCTAACAATCACAAACAGTGACAACGCCAATCGAAAGAAGTTCACGCCTGTTTTGTAAAGGAGATCTTTACGGCTATCAAAAAATCAAACCTAATCTCCAACTGTATAAAACCGCCGCATCCCAAGGATCCATATTAGGCAGGGTTCCTGCTCTCGATCGAATTAAAAGAAAACAAGCGCTAAGAATCAAAGAGACATTAAAAATGATAGAGGCTATCCAGATGGATAACTCCCTTCACAGTTCGCTGCATTTCTCAACGAAGGCGACAAACGTAAAAGAAAAGTGGGTCATGGTCCAGCAATTATATGAACAAATGGAACATATTCTGCTTGAAAACGAGTCTGCCGCATGGGATGTAAACGAATGCCCGAGTATATAAAAATGATACGAGGTAAGCTACAGTCAAAACAACTCCATCGGTAACACTTCAGAACTTGCCAAAAGTAACGCTATCCAACGTTGATGGGGGTCTCTTGAAGTGAAAACAATTTGGTTATTATTATCACTACTATTTGTAAGAACAATCAAAACTAACTATTCTTGTGTGTAGCTCTTTATTCATTAATAGAACACGCAAAGAAAAAAGCAAAAGATTTTTTTCTCCCCTTCACCCTTATAAAACAAATTGAAATAATTCTGAAAATTGTAATCCCCAAACCTATGTTTAAAACTCGTTATGTGCTTCCACTACTATTTTCCAAAATCTCCGACTTAAGAGAACTACTTATTAATTATTTGATTTACTCACTGTAATTATATTGTATAGGTACAATATCCTCTTTAAACAAAATAAGTTATAGGTCATAATCTTAGAATGTACCCAAAAGTCATAAACTGAGTTTTTACCGATATAAAAAATGAGAAAGAGAAAGCAGGCAGTCAAGTGGTTGTTAATCAACAAACGCACGCACAAGCACAAACATTTTTGCCATAGCATATATTCTACTTAACTATAGAATATCCGCCTGAGTAGCCGAAGGCGAGGAATCTCGACTAGCAAGTCAATGGTCATGGGTTCGAATCTCAAGTGCGGTAGAGTTTTTAATAAAAGCCGATAGCCTTAGATGCTAGTGCTTTTAAGAGTTTAGTCTTAGAATTTATTTCTAAATATAAGCATACTGATGTCGTAAATAGTGTAGCCTTTAATCCTAAAGATAATGAGATGTTGGTGACCACTAGCGATGATTTCACTATCAAGGTATGTTTATTTCATGCCCTACATAATTGCGAGTACACTCCAATACCGATTTCCGTTAGTAAGAATAGACTTTATAAACAACGGGATTCAAATATATATATATATATAATAGGTCATATTGAAAGTTCTGCCTGGGATATCGGGCAACACTCATCTGACTGTCGCAAACGAACGTGTGCTGAAAAGGTGTCATTTCAGCTTATATTTTTTTATGAAGATAATTTTCTAATTCTTTGATCATGTAAAAGCTGTATTGATTTCAAAATGAATGAAATATCCGAAAAAATACGCTGTGCAATGCGTTTTTAATATAATGGTAATGGTAAAAACGCTGCAAAAAAATTGTGAAGTGTACGGTGAGAATGTTGTAACTAAAGAAATAACTCGGGAGCGCCTTGCTCAATTCCGTTCCGGAAATTTCGATGTCAAATATGCATTTCGCAATCACTAAAAAAGTCCAAAAAATTTGGCAACAAGCTGTCAGCAAATAACAGATGCGCTAAACATCAGCCACATGACAGTTTGGAATTATTTGAAAAGAGCAGACCACAAAAAGAAGCTCGAAAGTGCAGGAAAACCTGCGGAGATTTTTCAGTATTACCCATTATATTCTTAACCAATTTTGCGATCATGTATTTTTCACATTTATATTTACTTTCCCTTTCAGATTTGGAGGTCTCGTGCTAAAGCTAAACAAATGAATGTTGATGCTTCAAATAATAATGAAGCATTCTATTTGAAAAACTCAGAGGACAAATGACTGCTCTCAATTTACTTATTGTTGTACTAACATCAAAAAATCTATTTTGTTAAATTTAAAAATTGTGAACTATTTGTCGTTTGCATTATTTTTATTTAATTCTAATATGAGATTAAGATATATTTTCAGGTGTGTCCCAAAAATTTATTAAATTTCAATACAATGTTTGTGAACTTTATACCTATACAAGTTACGCATATTGTTTATTTGCTTTAATTATTTAAACATTTTATTATTTTATTAGTAATCAAATCAATGAGTTTAAAATTGCTTTTAATAAATATATACGAATATATGTATATTATTTTTTTAATGTTATCTATAGATACAAAACTAAGAATTTTATGCAAGTATTGAAAATTGAAGACTACTAGCTAATAAAGTAGAGAAAATAATTGTTTAACAATGTACAAGACTTATACGATTTATCATTTCTTTAGTTGCCAGCTGGCAGGTAGTCAAAATTATCGTTCTGCTCTAAAAGAGGATTATCTTGATTGTCAAATTTACGGTTTTTACGTCGTTTTTCTGGATGGCCAAAACAATTCTGACATTCTTCATCGTCTTCCGAAGAGCTTTCTCCAAATGCCGTCGGTTTCTTGTAGATACAGCAACCTAAAAGTTACGAGCGAGTGTAAACTCGTACCTGTTTATAAATGGCTTCACTTACATTTAGATTTCTTTTTATTCAAATGTTCATTGTCAACGGTACCTTCATGCCAGACAACTTTCTTACTGTTCTTCGGCTTTTGCAATCTTAGTCTAAGCACTGGTCGTGGCTACTCATAAAAAAAAAGTTCTCAGTATTTCTCAGACTACAGTCCAAAATTCAAGCAAATATGATTACCTTACCGTTCTTTCTCATTCATTACTCAGTATTTCATTGATTCGCATAAGTTGGATTTAGGCGTTCTATTACATTTTAACTTGCACATTGAATCCTTGGTTTTATAAAGAGGTGGTCCAAAGAGCTTGATGATCCTTACATTACTAAAAGGCTGTACATGTGTTTGGTTAGACCTATACTTGAGTATGACTCAGTTGTGTGGTCTCCTTCATATAGGTGCTAGATTCAATTCAATGTGTTCAAAAGCAATTCGTGCTGTTTGCCCTTAGAAATTTGGGTTGGGACCCTACTGCCCCTCTTCCACCCTATGAAAATAGGTTTCTTCTGTTATCCTTACCGTCACTTGAGAAACCTAGATTTGTTCTTGGGGTTTCCTTCGTAATCAAATTAATAAATGGTACAATTGACTCGCCTGCATTACTTGGTGAAATAAGCTTTAATGACCCCAACCGCTTGTCTAGGCACTTTACCTTGGTTAAGCTTAGTCAATGTAAGTATAATTATGAGCTGTTTAACCGCTCAGAGTTGTTTGCAGGCACCTAAATGATGTCTATCACTTATTTTCATTACCGGACTCTTTAAAGTCCATTAAAGCAACATTGCTTAATAAGCGCGATTTACCTATGCCGTACTTAAACTAGCTCTTAATCTTAAAATGTCACGATGAGTCGAAAATGAATTGTTGTGAATTATTATCGGTTGCCAAGCTTATGCATTTTTGCGACGGTTCAATCGCTATTTGGTCCTGTAGCGGTTCTATGCCAGTCATGTACATGGTTTTTTGTTTTTTCTTCTTTTCTTCCTTCTATTTTGTTTTATTTGTACTTTTCTAAGGTTTAATATTAATTAATTTAAGATTTACTTTAAGAGTCAATTAAACTCGACTGTCAAAATTTTTAGTTGAGTTTCTTGTATAAATGGAATAAGTAAATAAATAAATAAATAAAAATAACAGTATTAGTAGTGTAAATACAAAACTAATAGAACCATATATTAAGATATAGGGAATAGTCGGTGATTATAGTTATATAAACCAATTTGTCCAAAGAATGGCAGTATTTTGCTATTGCTATTAACATAATTGACGAATTGTCGTCGTTAATTGTCCTTAAAAGCCAAGAAGAAGAATTTTAATGAAAAAAAGCACAGATTTTTGAAGAAATTACTCATGTACAGCCGAAACACACATATGTGAAACGATGTGATCAAAAGCAACGGACATAAGCTATACTAACCAGCGAAACATGCAAAGCGTGAAATGGTTTAAAACGCGAACACTATGCAAGAAATGAATAAATAACGGAAGAAGATGAAGGCCTAATTATTTCAGAAAGAATACGAATATGGTACGGTTGGACGCTATTGAAAATGGTTTGGATCGGTCCACTTTTTTGTCATCTCCATTTAACGCCTTTGTTATATAGGAAAAAATTTTCGAATTTTCGAAATTGTTTTGACAAAACTCGCTATATGGTAGTTTGAAGTGGGTATGAAAAATTTGGCACGGCTGGAGCAATTTTTTGAACAAGCTCTCATATAACCGTTCCTACGAAAGCTGAGTCTTTATATAGTAAGAAGATGTAATTTTTAATAATAGTAATATGATGAAAATTACTCTGTAATGGTAAATTGACATAGGAATCAATGTTGCCGAATTTGGACCATACACTTTTGGATGCCATCGCATATAAGGATTCCTCTAATATGCGGACTTTCATGTAAAGTATGCCTTTGCATGAACATAATGTGTAACTTTTAGTATATTAGTACCAAAACGGGTATACAGCTGTGCTAGGCGAAGTGGTATAGCGGACGGCGAAGCATATGCAGTGTAACCGAATATAGATTTCCTTATAGAGAAATGTTCACGCCGCTTTAACGTGTATGTACAACGGCCATAACGCATCGTTCAATAATTCCTTAAACTATGTAAAAAAAATCTCTGCGAGCTTATGCTCAGTATAAGTGGCGTTAGTCAAGAACGATACAGTTAGTTTCAAGCTTGTTTGTCATTTCGATGCGATCTTTATACAACAATTCTTCGAAATTCTCAAAACAGCTTTTAGTTTCTGCCATGTCCTCATCATTTCAAATCTTTTTCTGCTGCTTAACTTTCCATACTCCTTTCAAATGTACATTTAATAACTGACTGATGCCAATAAACTAAAAGAACCTATGCTAGCAATGCAGGTAGATGATTTGTATTATAGTAGTGTTAGCTCAAAGAAGCGACTTTACCTTACGAAAGTCTTTGACTGTCTAAAGGTTTTGTGCTATATCGTCACTGCCGTGATTACCCACGTACAATTACCTTCCGCGAAGACAAATCTGTGAATGCTTAGGATTGTGTATCCTAACGGTGCATAGTTATATGATGATATAAACTATTGTAATATCCAATTGTTAAAAAATAAATGAATATACTAAACGAGTAAAGCGATAGTAATGAGTGATTCCTTAGAATACTTCAGGTGTAATTAGCATATATTAGGCTAATGCATACTGGTACAAGGAGCCATACCCAGGAATCTTTCGATAACAGGCGACGGCAAAAATCCTGAAGATTTTCTAAGGGTTCTTCTAGAGTCTTGGCAATGAGCACAAAGTCATTAACATATGCAAGCGCACGTGGGTTCATATCAGGACCAATGACGCTCTGTACGCCGATTTCGAACGTTGCAAGCACGGAATTTAACCCAAACGGCATTACCGTCATTCGAAAGAGTCCTCGTCCGGGTGCAGTGACGGCAGTAGGGATTTTACTGGACTCGATCGCAAACAATCTGCATATATTAATAATGTTCCCCCTAGGACAGTGAAACTGAATTCTGTAGTTTCCTAAGCATCGATTTTGGGTGGTATCCTGCTTAATCTTTTTGTGTGAATCAGTAATTATTTGTCCTTAAACGGGAGTGAAACAAAAACTATTCTTTTTAGCCGCGCTGCATTATGCGTACATTGAAACTCGAAGAATCTTCGGGTTGTCTTGAAACATCACTCAATAACAAAAGAAACTTTAGCCCCGCCATACTACTAGACGTTTTCCTAAATTTGTGAAAACTATGCAATTTAAAAGAGTCGTTCGTCCTTTCTCACTGTCACATATAAATTACTGCATGGCTAAACTAAAATCAGCTAACCCCAAAACTGTGCGATTTATCTATAACATCCATCTCAGCTCATGCAAGCTCTTACATTCGAACTTTTTAAGATTCTCTCTTGAAAATTACTTTAAATTTAGACTTCTCATATATTTATTTAAAATTGCAAAATTTTTTTTATTTCGCTTCGAAGTCAATTCATGCAATCTTGCCATTGTCTTGAGACGCGCGCGTTTGTTTTACTGTGAGCACGCGACTACTGTTTGCAAAGCAGCTTTCTCATACAGAGACTCTCGTGCAAAATGCTAAATACCTTTTCAATTAACGAGAATAATATTTGAAGTTTCTTCTTTACACCATTGTAATTACTTCTTTTGGGCGTACTCAATAACATCGCGCTCGTGTGATCTCGCATAAAATCAGTAAAATCGTTTATGGCAGCCGCAGAATATAAATGAAATCAATGAAAACAAATGTACGTGGTTTAACTAGTAGTTTTAACGCCTTTATGTTTATTCTTATTTTTGTCTATCTTTACAGCGCATCAATATGAAAAGTCGTTGAAGTAATTAGCGTTACATAATGGAATCGAATCGCTAATTTTCACCACTCAAGTTAATATAAAAAATCGAACATTAATTAATTGTTTAAATTTAATTTATTATTATAATTAAATAGATTTCAAAATAAATGAATTAATATAAATAAATAAATAAATAATAAGTAAATAAATAAATAAATAAAAATAAGTAAACAAAATAATAATACATAAAAATAAATAAATAAAACTGAAAGAAATTTGCTACACTTAAGGTAATTTCTTGCAGCTTAATTTGGTTTTCTTTCAACATAGAAGTAATTTCATGCAACTCATGGTGGTTTTGCTTTGACTTGGAGGTAATTTCATGCAATTTTCATGATGCAAAATGTTTGAAATTGGTTAAATGGTCCAGTAAGCGCGATATATAGGCACCCATAGAAGAAACAATCAATGTTGCTGAAAATCTACGAAACGAATAGCAACCGCCACACAACTCAAACGATTTGCTTTTTCTTTTTTCAAAGGTTTCATAAAAATGATTTTGATTTAAACCGATTATTTTTCTAAGCTAAATATTTGTAAGTTAAAGTAATTAAATGTACAGGCCAGATAATTTGAATACAGAAAAGAAAAGCACAGCTATTTTTATTACATGTGCAAAAACAACTTTCCAGCAAAACCAGCAAACGGAGCCTGCGGTCCATTTTCAACAAAATCCCTCAATAATTCGATATATTTTTTGCAAGTTTGCGAGTTTTTGCAATTAGTCACAAAAGAAATATGATATAAGAAATACAACCACTTTCCCCAATTGAACAGTTTAGGATTAGATGAGTGGCAATTTCGAATGAAACCACATGTGGTCTGTTTAGATAGGTAGGCATTCTAATCGTAAACCTTCGGTAGTGAAGTTGTGAAGGGGAAATTTCCCAAAAAAGACGGCTGAAGACCGTTTACTTTCATGCACTCAAATTTTCCTTATTATATGCGCGACATGGAAACCGTAAACGACGTGCAGAAGACGTTAGAATCTGCTGAGAGGAGTTTAGTAAATCACTTGCCTCCTATAATGAAATTTGAAGATGTTGTTCTTGAATTAACAACGTTAGGAGCGGAAGTCAAAAAGGACGTATGTTAGCCCAATTGGCTCCACAATTTCCAGATAAATAAGATCGTTTGATAACAATACTTCAAGATGTGGATAGGGGAAAATTTAAATTCAATATGATCAATCATACGTTGATATCTCGAGTTATAAAAGTAACAGATCAAAATAAGGCATTTTATGAGAAGAATAGTTTTTGTGGCTAGCAAGCTCGCGACAAAAAGGGAGTATGTTACATAGGTGAAATTAAACAATTGGGAAAGCACTTCTA